CAGGCCACATCAGGTCACCCCTGAACCTGTACACCAGCCAACTACTGAGTAGTAACCTTCAAGAAGAGCACCAGACAATCCCATCCTGGGATGCTACAGTTCTAAGAAGCTGCAGTTTGAGTTCAATCCCACATTTGGCTCTTGCTCCCCATTCCCCAAGGAGTTTCTACTTGGTTCATCAGAGGCTCCACTGCAGGAGGAGGAGGAGGAGGCTCCTTGCACTTGCTCCAAGCCTGGGATGAATTACAGCAGGCAGAGATCACTTTTATCGCCATAGGCTATGTCAAAAATAATGACCAAGTTTCACCATGAAAGCAAGCCAGATAGTCATGGAGGGTATTTCTCAATCTCAGACTGTTAGACAAGGAATATCTGTGGGTATGTCAACACATTATTTTTCACACAAAAACAACAACAACAACAACAACAACAACAAACACAACAGGACAAAATTGGTTTACAGGACTAGTTATCTAAGCCTAAAACTTCAACCCCCAGCATGAAGCTCCACCCCAAGCCGGAAGGTGATGAGGTTCCAAGGCTCATTCCCAAAGAGGCGAGACAGAGTCCTTTCCCAAGCCTCAAAGTACACTCTGTCCTGGGCAGCCTGCTTGTGTCCACATGTGTGCATCTAAGGGAGGGGGAAACGTCCTGGGAGAGAAACACCTGAGAGCTGAGAGCCCAGCAAAGACCGGCAAGTACTAGGGCACAAACCCTGGCAGAGGCTCAGCAACAGCCCCCATAAAAACCAGGGAAACTGGCTCATGGGCAAGTGCTCCTCAGCTGTCCTGGCTACCTGTAGCTGCTGTCTGCTCGTCCAAGTGCCCATCTCTAGATCAGAGTTGTCTCTTTTGAACAAATGAAGAGGATCTCTTTAAAGCACAGGTGGGCAAGAGCAGCCTCATTGAGGGGACTGTACCAACCGTCCCAGGCCCCAGCTGAGCCTCCAGGCCAGCCCGGCCTCCCCTCACTAGTTCAGCCTCAAGTACTGCCCACCTCTCCCCATCACCCTACTCATCTCCAGACTGGCAGTGCCACAGGTGGTCAAGTCCCATTGAGCTGCTGCCAAATCTGAGCAGAGATAAACACGCCAGGAGAAGAAATCCAAGGCCACTGTTCTCCCGTCTCAGGCAAACACCCAGGTGGCCAGAAAAGAGGGCCTCACTACAGAGTCATGAGTGGATGCTGCACGGCCCCCCTGAGGACCTGAGAAAGGGTCAGGAAAGGAAGATAGCATAGCACCTGCAGGCCTAAACTTGCTGGGAGAATTCCTTGGAGAAAGCTGTAGGAATCCTCAGGAAAGGCCCACCTCCCTGACTGCATCACTCACTCCTGCAAGCCTCACATTAGCCCATGGCAGGGTGCCCGGTATGGGGGAAGGGGTACTATGGCTCCAAACACTGCAGCCTGTCCCAGTCACACAAACCCAAGTATATCTGAAGACTATTCTAAGGCCCTGACAGATCCAACAGCGACCTATCAGCAGTCCAATCCAGTGCCTTACGTCCTCCAGGAAAGGGCTTGCTCATAACTCACACCTGTCAGCTGAGAGGAATCTCAGCATCTGGCTTAGACCCCTGGACACCAGAAAGTAAAGCCAAGTCGGGGAAAGGAACTGCAAGTAGTGAAAAGGCCACAACTCTAAACCCCACGGATGCTTTCTCCCACCAACCTCAAAACCACTCGCAAGGGCTTTGGCCCACACCTGCCCATGAACAGATGGGCTCGACTCCCCCCACCCACACACTTCCAAGGAGACTTTCAGCTTTCTCAAGGCCCCGTGGCCAGGAACCTCCACTCTGAAAACTGTACCTAACCATTCAAACCTATGGGCCCTATTAAAATGAAGAAAAGCGCTCTCGGCCCTCATTTCTGGTGTTGCCTCAGCAGCACCGTAAATGTCATGGTCCCTTGCACATCACAAGAAGGCAGCCAAGCTATAGAAGGCACTCTCTCCTTATCCTCTAAAAGATTCTCTCTCAGGAAGTCCTTTCAAGCAGCCAGTTCTAGTCCATTTAGAAACACCGGTAACTGGTAACAAGCCGATCACTAGCAACACCATTACAAAACAAAACTAAGCTGAGCTATGGTCACCACCCTGTTCTTCCGCTTCCGAGAGAAGATGTGACGCTCAAATACCAATCTAATCAACCTTGCAGCACTTTTCTTTAATTTGCTAATTATTTTTTCTTTCTGTGCAATATCCAGGCAACAACTAAAAACAAAAGCAAAAAAACCTGGCCTTTTTGTGGCCTAGAGACTCAGTCTCTCTCCCCCTTCACTCTGCTGTTCAGAGTCATCTCCATGGGAGTCTGAAAAAATGGAACTTTTTAAAGGTCCTAAGCAAATATTATTACTATATTATTATTAGCCACAGTATATTGAGTGCCTGTTTTTGTTTTTTTTTTGGAGACAGAATCTTGCTTTGTCGCCCAGGCTGGAGTGCACTGGTGTGATCCTAACTCACTGCAACCTTTGCCTCCCAGGTTCAAGCAATTCTCCTGCCTCAGCCTCCAAAGTAGCTGGGACTACAGGCATGCGCCACCACATCTCGCTATTCTTTTTGTATTTTTGTAGAGATGGGGTTTCACCATGTTGGCCAGGCTGGTCTCGAACTCCTAACCTCAAATGATCCACCCGCCTTGGCCTCCCAGAGTGCTGGAATTACAGGGGTGAACCACCGAGCCTGGCCTGAGTGCCCGTATTTACTGTACACGATCTCATTTAGTCTTAAAAATAAGCCTGTAAGGTAATCATCAACAACCACATTTTACACGTGAGGAAGAGACTTTGACAAACTCAATAACATGCCTAAAGTCAGACACTTAGCAGCAAGGCAGAGACTATTTCATTTTATGGGACTAGTCTGCTTCCCAAAATAATCATCAAATGCAAAGGAATTTAATTTTCTGCCTAAAAAAAACAAGCCCCCCACCCATTACCACAGTTCACGTCTGACCAGTTCCAAGATGACCTTCCCAAACTTGATATGAACACACTGACGAAATTATCGGAGAAACTGAGCAAGAGTACATAGTAGCCGGGGCTCTGTGGGAAAATGACACAAGTCCTATTGGCAGGATGTCATCCTACCTGCCAGAGCCCCTCACTCACAACATTTCTCTAAAACCTGGCATTAGAAATTAGAGGGCACCTTTCTGGTAACCCTCGAAGCAACCTGTGGTTGCCTTGGGCCTGTGAGCCTTCAACCACAGGTCAAAGAGAAGTCCAGACTAGACTCAGCCTCCTGCTATGAGGAATGCAAATCCACCTACTCAAGCTCTCTGCCTATGCTGAAACAAAGGCTAGAGGCCAGAGTTCAGATCATCTGGGCAAAATAATTGAGACTGGCTACTACAGGAGTACCAGAAATGGGCAATGTGTCCACTGGTTATATTTTAGCCCTCTAGCTCTCAGAGTACACAAGCCCTCTGTCCCTGGGAGGGATACCTGCTCACTTAGATTTTGGATACCTGTACCGCGAGGAGGTTAGGGAGAAGGGCCCTCAGTCACGATCCACACAGAGGAAGAAATAAACACACAGTGACAATTTACTGAGGGCTTACCCTCATTAATTAAGCCCTTATTTACATTGTTCACATAATTTTCCAAAACAACTCCTTGAAAGGGTTACTATTTATTATCCCAGAAGAGAAACCTGGGGTTCAGAAAGAAGTCGCCTGGCCCAAAGGATCAGGAGAAAAAGCCACTCTCAGGAGAGTGGCTCTATGGCAAGACACATGAAACGAGAGGTCAGTCTCCTTCCCCACTGGGAGCCTCACGTCAGTCCCCAAAGGGGGTGGATTACTCGAGGTCTCTACCAGAGTTTTCAGTGCAGGGCTGTTCCAAGCCCTAAGCCGACCCAAACTCCAAAACTTCCCGAGCTCGGGCCAGAGAAGAGAAGTCTCCAAGGCCTTCTCTGGCTCTGGGTCTAGAGGGGCCTCGAACTTCCCAGTGCGGTCCCAGCCCCAAGCCTCCAACATGACTCCCCAGGGATCCACCTCCCAACCCTTCTCTCCCATCCAGTCCCAAGACTCTGTGTGGGATTTAAGAGTCTGATCCAGAACAGGGAGGCCGGCTGTCGTAGAAGGGGACATGAGGAAATGTCTAGAGAACCCTGTCGGGGAAATCCCGGGGAGTCCCAATCCTCGAACTGGCGCGGACCCGAGTCCTTACCGAGCAGCGGGGACTCCTCAGGGCAGGCGGGCAGCGCCAGCGCCAGCGCCGTGGTGCGGGGCACTGGGACCGAGGTCAAGTTGCTCGCGGGGCCAGGGCCAGAATCCGCGACAGGGCTGGAGTCGCCACCCGGGCGCGGTTGGGAGGAGGCGCCTAGAGGAGGCGGCGGCCGGGCCCCTTTGGCCCGGAGCTCCCCGGAGGGCTGCCCGATGGCGGGGGCACCTTTCGAGCCGCCCTGCAGCGATATGGAGACTCCGACCAGCTGAGGCAGGCGACTCAGGTCGCGGCCAACCAGGTAGTAAACGAGGGTGACGCCAAGATGCAGCGCGCAGACGGCCACGAGCAGGCGGCAGGCCCGCTGCAGGGACGCGCCGGGCATCGCGGCGCTGCCGCCCAGGAACGGCTCCCGAAACCTCATCTTCCCGCCGCCGCTTTAAGAGGGGTGTGGGCTACGGGAGGGGAGGCGACCCGCCTGCGGGCCGCCCGCCAGGCGCTGCCCCACCACGGCGACTGGGGGAAGGGCCGGAGGGGGCGCGGGCCAGCGCGGCGCCAGGGGGCGGGCGGCTGAGCATAGAGACTCCGGCCCGCCAGACCTGGGAAAGGCGAGAGGGCGCCCGAGGCGCAGGCGGGGAAGGGCGGGGCCCCGGCAGAGGCGGGGGCGGGGCCGGGCGCGGGGTTTTCGGGATGAGAGCGGGAAGGCGGGGCCGCCCGTGGCGGGATGGGCGCGCGGGGCGGGGCCTTGGGACGGTGGGCGGTGGGCGGGGCGGCCTCGTGGGGGCCTGGGGTCTGACTAGGGCTCCGACGCCGTGCACCGCCCTCTTCCTCCAGAGCCTTCGTGGCGGATCTTTGGTCGCGTACAGCCGCGCCTCCTCTTCCTCCTCCACGCTGCGCTCGAGAGGCCGCGCCACTTCCTGGGGTGCGAAGGGACTGGGGTGCGGGCCTGGGCCTGCAGCGCGGCGGCGGCGGCGGAAAGAGCGGAGAGGACAGCGGGCGGATGGTGGTCTGGGGTGATTGGGGCCGCGGCGGCGTTCCGGCCACTGGGCCTAGGGGGCTAAGAAGAGGGGCAGAAAAAGGTTACCGGGGAAACGCGCTTAGACGTCGGGGGGTGGCACGTTAGAAACCACCCCCCTTACTCAGCCCAGCGGGGCCCCGCTGCTTAACTGGGGGCCCTGGGGCAAAGTGGACAGGTTGCCCCATCTCTGCCTCCCCATCAGGTATAGACTGGGCTATAAGGGCTCTCTCAGACCAGACCAGCTCGGTTCCAGGTGTGTGTGTGGTGGGAGTCCTGTATGCTTTGAAGAGGAGAGCGGCAAGAAGCCTCTTAACTCCCAGGCCAGCGTGCAGGAGAGCAGCTGGTTTTACAGTCTACACTGGGCTACACACGGTCCCATGAGGTAGGAGTTCTCTCCATGTCATAGATAGAGTGGGGCCCCGGAAGATTAAGAAACTTGCCCAAGAGGCTGGGCGCGGTGGCTCACCCCTGTAATCCCAGCGCTTTGGGAGGCTGAGGTGGTCGGATCATGAGGTCAGGAGTTCGAGACCAGCCTGGACAGCATGGTGACCTCTTGTCTCTACTAAAAATAAAAAAAATTAGCCGGGCGTAGTGGCGTACGCCTGAAGTCCTAGCTACTCAGGAGGCTGAGGCAGGAGTATCGCTTGAACACGACAGGCGGAGATTGCAGTGAGCCGAGATCATGCCACTGCACTCCAGCCTGAGTGACAGAGCGAGACTCCGTCTCAAAAAAAAAAAAAAAAAAAAAAAAAAGAAAGAAAAGAAAATGAAAAAATGAAAAGAAACTTGTCCAAGAGGCCACAGCTGGCAAAAGGCAGGATTCTGGCTCCAAAATCCGTATTTTCCACAGGTTTACCCTTTGTTGATAAGGGCTGAAGGCTGTGTGGGTAAGATACTTAGGCACTGAAGCCAGTTGGCCTCGATTTGACCCAGAGGCCTCTGACCCTGAGTGAGCAGAGACCCCTCACCCCAGAGAACAACTCGAGGAGGTGCCGTTAGTAATGTGGACAGGGAAGTTAAGGGCTCTGGCAGCCAACCAGCAGGGAATAACAGTAGCTATCTTATTTTGAGAGTTTACTATGTGCCAGTACTATCTGCCATGAAGTAGGTGGTGTTACAGTCTCCATTGCACAGATGAGAGAATGAAGGCTTGTGAGCTGACACTTGGTTGTGATCATACAAAATCAACTTTCCTTGCTTGACTTCCTGGACACCAGGTCCTTCTGATCTTCCTCACTTCACCGGCCATCTCTGTCTCCTCTCTGGACTTCTTTCCCAGCTGTTGAAAGCACTGCCCATCGCCCATAGTCCATGATGTTCTTTTGTGTCTATAGTCACTCCCTAGGAGTCATTTTTTTTTTTTTTTTTTTTTTTTTTTAAGACGGAGTTTCGCTCTTGTTACCCAGGCTGGAGTGCAATGGCGCGATCTCGGCTCACCGCAACCTCCGCCTCCTGGGTTCAGGCAATTCTCCTGCCTCAGCCTCCTGAGTAGCTGGGATTACAGGCATGTGCCACCATGCCCAGCTAATTTTTTTTGTATTTTTAGTAGAAACGGGGTTTCACCATGTTGACCAGGATGGTCTCAATCTCTTGACCTCATGATCCACCCGCCTTGGCCTCCCAAAGTGCTGGGATTACAGGCTTGAGCCACCGCACCCGGCCTCCTAGGAGTCATTTATAATGTACATATGCTGATCACCAAAATTTCTGTCCCCAGCCCAGATCTCTTCCCTGATCCCCAGACTCAACTGCTTATTTTAGTGGCATCTCAAACACAATACATCTTGCCCCAGCAACCTACTCCTTACACTCTACACCCATTCTTACCTCCCTCACGGAGTGATACCGTTGTTCATTCGGCTCCCCAGAATCTAAAAGGTGTCCTTGATATGCCTCTCTTACTCTCAAATGACATTTGCAAGTCCTCAGAGAGCCTTGTCAGTGCTACCTTCAAAATATCAAAATTCATCCCTGGCCAACTCTGATGTAATCATCCTGGATCAAGCCACCATCATCTTGCCCTGGGTTATATGGCAGCCACTAATTGGTCACCCTGCTTCCACCTCCTTCATTCCTCCTCCCTGGTCTGTTCTCCACAGAGCATCCAGGAAATCTTTGTAAGCATAAATCAGATCATGCCATTTTATTCAGAACCAAATCCACAGAAGCCCTGTCCAATCTGCTTCCTATCTCCCACTCACATCTATTATGCTATCATGCTGGACCTGCCTTAGCCACACTATCCTTGAACTTGCCATATTTCTTCTTGCCTCAGGGCCTTTGTACTTGCTGTTCCCTTAGGCTGAAACACTTGTCCGCAATATTTCATTCAATTCAGGTCTCTTAAATGTCACCTAACTACAGAGACCTTCTCAGACTACCTTATGCAGAATGGCCTCCTGCCTGAATCTGCTTAACCTACTTAATTTTTTTGAGTGGGTATCAATTACCCAACATCATACATTTATTCTCTGTTGTCTTGCCTCTCTCATTAGATCAGCTTCATGAGGGCAGGAAATTTTTCTCTTGTTCACTACTGTATCTTCAGCCCCTAGAACTGAGCCTGGCATATAGTTGGCACTGAATAGATATTTGTTAAAATACTTTTTAAATACATGATCATCTCGATGATGTGGGAAAGGGAGAAGGGAAAAGTTATTGCTTAATTTAGAACACAAAGTGGATTTGTTCACCAAGGAATTGGTAATGGTGAAGCTGACCCCAGCTGCCTGTGTCTAGGGGTAAAGTCAACCTGGCCCATGAGTGACAGTGGGTGGATTTGTCCTACAACTGAAAATTAAGGAGAGGGGGAAATGATGATGTGTCGTCTGTCTGTTGGTAGAGATAATGGCCAGGAGACTGGACTCTCCCAGGACACTCTGGCCAGAAATTGAGGAAAAGGAACAACACTTGTTCATTGCCTATCCCTCAGGAACTTGCAGAGTCCACTGAGGCCTGCGCACTAGTCTTTGCAGCCCCTGATCCACAAGCACCTAGAATTAGTAAATTACAGATCAGTAAATTACAAAAGATACAGACAGCCCAGAAACCTTCGGGACAATATTGTCCAGCAGTCCAGACATGAACTAGTGCTAGTGAAAGACAGACCCAGGCAACCTTCCTCCCCACTCTCTCCAGCTCTTTTCCACTCTAAACTTCATCACGTGAAAAATGAATCCCATCTGGTGAGACAACTGGAGAAGGAAGTTGCAGTGGTGATTGGCCAAAAGCTGGCATGAGGGCTTGGCCGTTGGCCCATCCAGTGCTCTTCTGCCCAGAATCACCAGCTCCCTGCTTCTCCCTGCAGCTGGCCTTCCTCTGCCCTTCTGTGGCGCCCTCTTCTGCACCTGTCAGGTTATATTTCTGTTTTTACCTTCATGGATCAGAAGGGCATCAAATAGCACTTGACACATGGTAGACAGTTATTTCAGTCATCTATTGCAGCGTAACACCTACCCCAAAACTTAGTGTTTTAAAACAACAATGTCTCGCAGTCTTGCAGTTGGCTACGCAGCTTTGCCTCACACGGTGTCAGCTGAGGCACTGGCCCAGTTGGAAGTTCCAAAATGGCTTCACTCACATGAATGGCAGTTGGTACTGGCTGGGGGCTGGAAACTCAGAATGGGTTGAGATCAGGGGCCTTCATTCTCCACTTAGACCTCTCCACAAAGGACTCTCCATGTGGCTGCTTGGGTTTCCTCACAATCTAGAGGAAGCATTCTAAAACGGAGCATTTCAAAAACACAGAAGATGCAGATCCCTTAAAGCCCAGCCTTAGCATGACTTCTAGGGCTTTTTTTTTTTTTTTTTTTTTGCTTAAAACAAGTTTGTAGGGCAGTTCAGATTCAAGGGGAGTAAAACTGGCTCTGCCTCTTGTATGGTTCGTTTTTTCTTAGACAGGAAAAAACCTTTCTTAGACAGGAAAAACCCCTTGTCACCCAACCTGTAGTGCAGTGGTATAATCATAGCTCACTGCAACCTCAAACTCCTGGGCTCAAGTGATTCTCCCGCCTCAGGTGAGTAGCTGGGACTACCGGCATGCGCCTCCACGTCCAGCTAATTTTCAAATTTTTGGTAGAGATGAGATGTTGCAATATTTTTCAGGCTAGTCTCGAACTCCTGAGCTCATGCAGTCCTGCTTTGGCCTCCCAAAGTGCTGAGATTACAAGCCTGTGCCATTTTGCCTGGCCTACTCCGCCTCTTGATGGAAGGAGGAGCAAAGAATTGTCACACATCTTTAATCCACAGCAGTTTGCCTAATGGCCACAAATTATTTAGATTCTTCCCACAGGTAAAATACATTAGTGTCTTCCCAAGATCACCCAAAGGCTCAACTAATTAAGACTTCAGGTCCAAAGTATTATCTAAATCAGTTCCAGGTGTTACCGAGCAAAGAGCACAAAGCGCAAAAGCACTCACTGCCCAATGTTCTAGAATCCAATACTGTGACACCAGGTTTTTAAGAAAAGAAAAGCTTTATGTTGCAGGTAGGCCAAAAAGGAGATAGAAGAGTCCAGCTGAAATCGCCCTGTGGTGGTTTTAAGTCTCCTTGGATTGGCTTTAAGGCAGTGTTTTTATCAGAAATATTTTTTGGGGGGGTGAATTCTGAGATAAGTTAATTGGTGAAAGGAAGGGGGAGGTCTGGAAAGTCCTCAGGCATGCACCATTGTTTCTTCCTGCCTCTTCATGGTTCACATTCAGGGAGATTTAGTATGAAACGTGGACATTTGGGTTGTGACACCAGCAACCTCTTTCTGTGCAAAACTCCAGTTGCCATATTCGTTGCAGCCAATTTCAGCCAGTTCTTTTATCTCAAGCAGAGGGAGTTTTGGCATTTCAGCAGTTTCTTTTCTTATCTGCCATCCTGCAAACTCAGGAATTTCTGTTAGTCATTGTTTTCTTTAACTCTTTGGGACACAGTTTCTTCTTCCCCTCCTCCCCCCAGAAGATTTAGAATTGAAAGGACACAGTTTCACAGGTATATTCCTCAGGTTCAAGGATGGGATGTATGATAGTTGGGTGCAGTGGCTCACACCTGTAATCCTAGCACTTTGGGAGGCTGAGGCCGGAGGATCACTTGAGCCCAAGAGTTTGAGACCAGCCTGGGCCACGTAGTGAGACCCCATCTCTAAAAAATAAAGATTAAAAAGGGACCTGTAGATTATAAAAACAAATTACTTTCTTTTCTTTTTCTCCTTTTTCTTGAGCAATTCAGTTAAAAAGTCACTAAGGCCGGGCACGGTGGCTCAAGCCTGTAATCCCAGCACTTTGGGAGGCCGAGGCAGGCGGATCACAAGGTCAAGAGATCAAGACCATCCTGGCCAACATGGTGAAACCCCGTCTCTACTAAAAATACAAAAAAATAGCTGGGCGTGGCGGCGT